CGCCCCCTTCCGTCCTTGCGGTCTCGCTCCCTTTGCTGCGATGGCCAAAGTCGTTTGCGTCACGGGCTGCACGGGATACGTGGCCTCCGAGGTTTCGGGGGCTTAAAAAGGTTGGATGAAGGTAGGAAGGATTGAGGATCCCTTATCTAGGGACTCTCATCTGTGACTACCGCACCTGCTTTCTTCCAATCTTACTCATATCCCCACTTACAACTACCCATGAGCTTCCAGTAGGCCCTAAACCCTATACCCTTATAAAGACCCTATAGATCCCTTTAACGAGACCCCTATAACTACCCATGAACCTCCAAGCAGAGCCCTAAACTCTATATTAGAATCTCTATAGATCCCTTTAAAGGGGACCCTAAAAGGAACCCTATAAAGATCCCTTTAAAGGGACCCTAGGGACCCATGAACCTCCAAGTGGAGCCCTTTGAGAGGTGGTCCGCCAGTGCCTGCAGGAGGGCTGGGTCGTGCGCGGCACTGTGCGAGATCCCAACGACGAGTCCAAGGTCGGTTACATCAAGAAGATACTCGGTCTAAGTTTTAGGGTTTAGGGTTTAGGGTTTGGGTTTTAGGGTTTAGGGTTTAGGGTTTAGGGTTTAGGGTTTAGGGTTTTAGGGTTTAGGGTTTTAGGGTTGTAGGTTTTAGGGCCTAGGTTGGGCTGGGGTCGCACTTTGGGAAACTTGCTGATGTCCCTGCCGATTTCAAAACAATCATACATACTTTGGGGGTGCGGGGGGTGGACCCTGAACCCTAAACCCCAGACCCATCAGCCTTTAAACCCGCTTTCCCCTAAAGCCCTACACACCCCTAAACCTAAAACACCTCTAAACCCCTAAACACCACTAAACCTCTACAGCCTAAACACCCCTAAACCCGTAAACACCCCTAAACACCCCTAAAGCCTAAACACGCCTAAACCCTAAACACCCCTAAACCCCTAAACCTTTAAGCCCGTTTCTACACCCCTGAAACCCCCTATAAACCCCTAAACCTCTATATAAACCCGTCTCTAAACCCCCGAAACCCCCTATAAATCCCTGAACCTCTAAACCCCTCTCTAAACCCCCGAAACGCGGACAAACCCCTAAACCTCTAAACCCCTATAAACCCCTAAACCCTTAACCCCCTCTCTAAACCCCCGAAACCCCTATAAACCCCTAAACCTCTAAACCCTTCTCTAAACCCCCGAAACCCCTGTAATCCCCTAAACCTCTAAACCCTTCTCTAAACCCCCGAAACTCCTATAAACCCCTAAACCTCTAAACCCCTTCGAAACTCCTATAACCACCTAAACCTCTAAACCCCTCTCCACACCCCCGAAACCCTATAAACCCCAAAACCTCTAAACCCCGCTAAACCCCTTTGAACACCTAAACCTCTAAAACCCTTCTCTAAACCCCTCTCTAAACGGCGCACAGCCCAGGATGGCCTCTGGCCTCCCGGGTAAGCTGGAGCTCTTCAAGGCGGACCTCCTCACCGAGGGTGCCTTCGACCCGGTGGTGCAGCTGGGGTCTGAAGTGCCACACTCTTTTTTTTTTTTTTTGGGGGGGGGGGGGGGGGGTTTGGGGCTTAGGGGTTCAGGGTTTAGGGTTTAGGGTTTAGGGTCTGAAAGTAGCACACTCTTGTTTTTTGTTTCGGGTTTGGGGCTTCGGGGTTTAGGATTTAGGGCTTCTCAGGGGGTTAGGGTTCAGGGTTACCAAGCTAGTTTGAGTTTTTGTTGGGTTTGTTTCCTTATACGAACCTTCATCGAATCTTGGCAGTAGTAGTAGTAGTAGTAGCAGCAGCAGTAGTAGTAGTAGCAGTAGTAGTAGTAGTAGTAGTAGTAGTAGTAGTAGTAGTAGTTACTTCAAAGCCTAGGCAGGGCTGCGAGTACGTGTTCCACACCGCGTCGCCCTTCTTCTTCGGCTCGGAGTCGGAAGGGCCAGAGGCCGGAAACCCTAAACCATAGTCAGTACGGTGTAAGGGTTTATGGTCTAGGGTTGTAGTATAGTATACCATACTAAAGTATATGGTATACTATACTACAGGATAGTATCATGTTATTTGTATGTCCTATCTAGCATATCTACAGCATGATATGTCCTATATAGCATATCATCGGATAGCATATCGGAGGCTGTGGAGGCGAAGCTCATCAAGCCGGCCGTGGACGGGACGAAGAACGTTCTTGGATCCGTCGCGAAGCACAAGGCCGACATCAAGTGTGTCGCACTGACCTCCAGCTGTGCCGCCATCTCTGGCTTCACGGGCAAAGACAAGATCGCGCGGGAGGATGGCAAGTTTTCTGAGGCAGATTGGAACGAGACCTCCACCCGCGAAGCAGGAGCGTACCTGCTGTCCAAGGCCTTGGCAGAGAAGGCCGCATGGGAGATCGCCACCAAGGAAGGTTTCAAGATGGTCACTATCTGCCCTTCTTTCGTCTTGGGACCGGCCAACACCGACCGTAACGATGGCGAGTCGATCGGCTTCGCCTTGAAGCTACTCAAGGAGGGCACCGTCGGACTGGTCGGCTTTCCCTGCGTCGATGTTCGGGACGTCGGCAAGGCCCACATCCTCGGCTGCACCAACCCCAAGAGTGAAGGCCAGTACCTTTACATGGGGCCTTCATACTGAAGATAGGGTTTAGGGGCCCATTATACTAAACTAATTACAGCAAGGGAACCCCTGAATAGTATAGGCAATTATTCTGAAGGCCGGTACATCTGGTCCCCCTAAACCCTAAGCCCTAAGCCCTAAAGCCTAAACCCTAAAACACAAACCCTAAAACCCTAAAACCCTAAACCCGAAAGCTTAGACAGAGCATCTTCTGTGAAGGCCGGTACATCTTGTCCTCAACCTTCGGCGTGCCCGCCTGGTGGGCCTATGAGGCGATCGAGGGGCTTGGCCTTCCCAACCTGCAGCTGGGGCTCACGGTTTAGGGTTTAGGGGTTTAGGGTTTAGGGTTTAGGGTTTAGGGGTTTAGGGTTTAGGGTTTAGGGTTTAGGGGTTTAGGGGTTTAGGGTTTAGGGTTTAGGGTTTAGGGTTTAGGGGTTTAGGGGTTTAGGGTTTAGGGTAAGGGCTTGGATCTAAGTTACCTTAGTAAAGAAACCGAATTAGTTACTATAGATCCCGATTACCTTAACTTCAGTTAAATCCTTCAAGAACCCAGGCAGAAGCCGGAGAAGCCAGAAGGTGCTGAGCTGACGCACACCTTCTGCAATGACAAGGTGCAGTCCACTGAGGCCCCTGGCCTCGGCATCAAGCTCACCGACTTGAAGACGACATTGACCGACATGCTCACATCCATGAAGGTTTCGCATGCCGCGCACCTTGCATAGGCACTGACAGGCGTTTCGACCTCCGAGTCAACATGGCCCCAACCAAGGGCTGTCTTGACGTTTTGTGAGGTAGAGGGGTGGTAGGCGGGGCGGAATCATTGCTAGGGCATGGTTCCGCCTTGCCTCTTGGGTCAACTTTTGCACTTACTTGTGCTTATTCTTCCCGAGCGTCACGGCTTCTTTCTTGTGCCAGAGGCAAGAGAGCTGTTGATGCAGACAGTGCGCACCAGACCTTACAGCTGTGACAGAAAGAAGGCAAAGCCTGCTGTGAAGTTTCGAGCCCCAGAGACTCCCAAACCCCTTAATTAAGTAGTATACCTTACGCCATACATGGGTTCCTAATGTAAATTACGGTGTTCCTTAATTATCGGTTTTGAAGCCGGTCTCGATAGCATGGTGTTGTTTGTGATTGGGCCCGTGATTCGCAGCCAGAGCGACGGCCAGGGATAGTAACAGTATGTGGCCTAAGGTGAAGTCGGGGACTATACCATAGTGTACTTTAAATATATATGTATGTACACACATACATGTACATGTACATGCGACATTTTACATGTACATACAAAATGTTCATATATGCATATATATCTATAAGAATATGTACATGTATATATACACACATAAAAACATATACATCTTAGGACAAGCATACACATATACACAAACATATGCATATACATGTACATGTTCATATTCATTTGCTTACACATGTACAAAAGCATATACATACCTACATACCTACCTACATACATACATACATACATGCTTACTTACGTACTCACATACGTGCATACAAACGTACATACGTACGTACGTTCTTACGTACATACGCACATACGTACATGCAACATACATACATACATACATACATAAAGACATACATATACGCATTTACCTATACCACAGATACGTTATGGCATGATGAAACATGACATAAAACCTTATAGCACAACATAACATCATGAAGCAAAATGCCAAAATCATGATACAACAAGGACATACTGTACTATAACTGTAATGTCATACAGCACAGTACAGTGTGATTACAGTGCTATTCTGCATCGTGTTGGATATGCTATGATATGCTGCGGCACGGCATAATAAACCTTTGCATACGTTGATATACCATGAACTTGCTATGACATTAAGCGTCGAGAGACTTCGAAGCCTACAAGTTCACAGAACTTCGGACCCATCGTTCATGTTTAATCCGAGTGTTTGTATGCGAGGAGGAACTAGCGACAATTGCCATGGTAAAAACAGATGTTCAAAGCCATGTTACTATGATGATGTCATCGGCCTGACGACGATGACGACGATGATGCCGATGGCAATGACGAACTGGTGAGAGTGATGATGACGATCGTCATCATGGTGTTGGTATTGGTGCTATTGCCGTCTCGTTGCTGTTGTTGCTGCTGTCATGTTGTTGCCATGAAGAAGAAGATGATGGTAAGCATGGTAATGCTGAAGAATGTTACGATGACGACGGTTCTGGCGATGATTCGCGTGATGATTCGATAACTTAGGTACGACCCTCTCCCCCCCCCATACAGTCAGAGTCGTTTATAGGGCTACTATTACGGTCCTAATATATTTTTACTATGAATATTATTCAGCTTTTACTGAGTGGGGGCCGTACCCAATCGATAACCATGCTCGCCGGCCGCCGAGGTGATGAAAGCTGCCCAAGCACGAGTCAACGAGGCACATGACCAGATCAAACATCACACCGAGCTTTGGAGCCTGGGCTTGTTGGAGCGCGGCACGCACGCCGGGCTGCAGATGTGCGCGCAGGTAGAGCGTCCATGAGCACGCATAAAGTGCGGCTGTGAAATCAGTGCCGTTGTGCCCCGACATTTGTCGGTTGGAGGCAGGCCGATCCCATCTGCGCGGTTGTGTTCCCATGCTTTTTCTCTTCATCCTTTGTTTTCACCCATTTGGCACCCCTCCGTTAAGTCATTTCGGTTTTGCGACAACTTTGCTGCTGTGACCGTTCTTCGAGGATCCAGAAACTCTGACAAGCAGCTAAGGAACTGCAAGGAGGACTTGGAGCATTTTAGCTCGAAGTGGTCAACCGAAAAGCAGAAGTACTGCTGCGCCCTCGGCGCCCGGGCGGCATGTGGTTGTCTTCTTAAACGATGGCTCGCCTGAAGCGAGCACTGACTTAGGACTAGAGTCTTGAACCCTAGACCCAAAACCTAAACCGGCAGAGTGTCTAACAGGCCCCCTGGAACGCGCAGGCAGTAATCACTTGTGCCCAAGCTCAGCCAAAGACGTAGAGACGGAAAGAACTGGATCTGCTTACTATAGTGGGTTAAATTATTACCGACACTATTGGGGCGCCCTCTCATGATAGCATAGTATACGCCAAACCCTATTCTGATCGCTAGGGACTCTTTTTACCCTGAACCACAATCCTGACCGCGAGCACCTAAACCCTAAACCCTAAGCTCTTACTTTCGTCTGGATGCCTTTGGTGAAAAGACACTATAGGGTTCACAAAAAAAACCCTAAACTCTAGCAGGCATGGGCTGCCTTGGTCAGTCAGGCCGGTCGGAAGGTTTCGCGTTACTACAGGGGCCTTAATGATTAGAATAGGGCTTTGGCGGTTTCCTTATTATTAGACTTGTAGTATAGTATACCCCTAAACCCTATTCTAAGTTCTTCAGGCCCCTACATTAGGCTTCTGTGCTGTCGGGTTTGGGGGTCAGGGTGCATGGATGTTTCGGGTGTCGAGCCAGCTCCCCCTTGATGGGATCCCGAAGGACTAGGAGCAGCATCCTGCATAGTCGATCTTTCTACGGCTATCGCACAACCCCTTGCCAGATACTGGCGATTTGGTGTTCGGGCTTCGGGTAGGTATTCGAGATCCACGGGATGTGCGGGAACGCCCCGGCAAGCGGGGTTGTTCTCATTAAGTCTTCCATTGAAGATTTCATTTCTTCAGGTTTAGGAGCTGGGGTACGTGCTTTAGTGCCGATTGTCGCAAAGAGCGAATTGCAGAAGCCTGCGTTTGCCATCGGAGGTGACGATGCTATCTTGATTACCCGAAACCCTAAACCCCTTAAACCTAAACCCTAAACCTGCCTTAAAACCCTAAGCCCCTATGTTCTAAACCTCCTTTCACCCTAATTCCCAGGCCCGGCAAGGCCAAATTGTTACACCTGAATGCTGAAATGGACCAAGCAACCGAATTTCAGCCGCAGGATTTATTTTGGGGTGGTTTGGGGTTTAGGGTTTAGGCATTCGGAGAATCGGAAGGCTCAGTAGATTAATCAGTATATCGGGTTAAATGCGGTAGCTGTACTCGCAAGTACTTAAACCTAAAAACCCTAACCCCTAAGCCCCTAAACCCTAAACTCTAAACCCTATAGACCCTAAACCCCTAAACCCCTATACTAAACCCTAAACCCTAAGACCTAAGACCCTGCATCCTGAATACGGGCCCCGCCAGGGTCGAAGTTGAAACCAACTTCCGCGGCCGCGGGTGGAGGACTGCTGGCTGCCTACTGTAGGGGCCTTCATATATATCTTTAATGGAGTTTGGGGGGTGTTCCTTTACAGGGATCCTTCAAAGGGTTCTATAAGGGATCTATAATAGGGTTCTACAGTAGGGGCCTTCATAAGTTTAGTAAAGTTTGGGGGGGTTCCTTCTTATAACTTTACTATATTATCCCCCAAAACCCTAGTCTAATTATTCAGGCCTTTACATTACGGATCCTAAAGGAGCCTTACTTACTTTGCATTGTGCGGTTGATGGAGCTGTGGGCAAAGGCCCCAAACCCCAAACTCCGCATAAAACTAAACCTAAGCTTAATAGCTGAGACCCTAAACCCTAAAGCTGGCATTGGGGGTTCCTTATGATGATTACAGTATGATGGGCCGTTGACTCCATTCAAGCGGCTGCCGTCGGTTGGCACCTGGTTCTCGCACCATGTCGGCCAGATGCAAGCGTGATGATGCAGCAGCTCAGGCTCAGCGACCCCGCCTCTTTGATGATCTGCTGCGGCCGCCGGAAAAACCGGCCTGTCGACCCCATCTTCTACCCTCTTCGGTGGAGGCGCACCAGTGCTTTCAGTGCGGCAATCGTGTCCAGGTGCTGCGGGATGGCGCTTGGTGGGACGGTGTTGTCGTCGCCGACAGCTCCGGCAAGATGAAGGTGACATTCAATGTTCGGGGCACATACGGAGCGCCTTTCCGCTTTCGGCGTCGGCACGAGAGTGCTTTCCGAGCCACAGCAGCACCAGTGCGCGTGTAAGACGGACGGTGAGATAGCTGGCGGCGCCGGCCACCTCTTTAGCGCAGGCAGTTGTCGCTCGGGGCACCATAACATACTCGCAAGATCAATTGCATCGCCCTTCGGGTAGTGTCGGAGCTTTCATTCCAGTCCTCTAGCTGGGCATACGTTGTTTGCACCATGTGGGAGTTTCCGAATATTAGGGGTACCTTATTTTGGCGTCCTTGTAAAAGGGATCCTACTATTTATAGATGGTACTACATTAGGGTCCCTTCGGAAACTCCCATGAACCCTCAACCCTAAACCCTGAACCCTATTTAAGGTACTACATCAGGGTCCCTGATTTTCGGAAGCTCCCATGTCACGGGCTTGGGGGAGTGCTTCCCCGAGGGGTCCTCGGCCCATTCCGCAAGGATCCGCTGGCACCTTCGAGCTTGATGTGCATGGTTCTGGGGCAGTGTTTTTGTTTTTTTTTGTAAGGGTGGGGGGGGGCCTTGCATCGACGAAGAAGCGTAACCTTAAACACTGCACCCTGTCTACACTAAGACACTAAGTCCTAAACCCTGCTACCCTAAGCCCTAAAACCTAAACCCTAGCCACCCTTAACCCTAAACACCAAACGGTGTCTACCTTAAACCCTACACACTTGAAACGCGAGATGTTCAGGAGATGCCGTGGCGGAGGACGTGGAAACTCATGGAGGCACGGGCTTCCCAGCTATCGCCGCCTAGTGTGGTGGTGTTAGTGCCTTAACGATTAGAGTGGGGTTCCTTTAAGATTCTGTAGAGGGTTTCTGTACGGGTTGCTATACAGGGGTCATGCAGGGGCAATCGGTTTTGGGTCTGTTCTATATGATAGTGGAGTTATGCAAGGACTACAAGGGAATGTTTTGTCTGCTTATTCTGACATCTATACTAAGCTTTTGTGAACGTGCGCTGTGGTGCCGTCTTCCTTGTCATGTGGAGCCTACTGTAGATCTCGACAACGAGGAGGGGGGGGGTTGTATAGAAATCCTAAACCCCACACCATTTGAAATGAACGGCTTTATAGTGGGCTTTTAGGCTTTCCAGCTGTAAGGATACGAGAAAGGCTCGAGTCTTCGTCCCATTTTCCGGAATACTCCTTAATGTTATGGTTTGGGTATACAGGGTTTAGAGCTTAGGGCTTTTAGCCACCGGAAACTGTGTAAAACTTGATTCTATAATGATTGCGTTAACCTATTCGTTCGAGGACCGAAAGACGGGTTTCGCATCTATGGGTTTACTGGTCTGCAGGTTTTGAGGGTTTAGAAGCGTAAAGATAGGCTTCATGAGCGAAGGGCTTCTGTGACGGGCTTCTTGGAGGCCACCCTCAAACCCTCCCTGTGAATCAGTGAACATCGACCATCTTCTTCTAAACCCTACCTACCCCAAGCCCTAACCCCTATCTCTGCTTAACCCTAAACTCCTAAACGCTACACACCCAATCTACACTAAGCCTTAAAGCCTACCTAAACCCTATACCCACCCTTAAACCGAATCCTTGTCTACCCTCAGCCCTAAAACCTAACTACAATTAACCGTAAACGCCTGGAGCCCGAAGCCCTATGTACCCTTAACCCTGCACACCAAGCCGTGCCTACACCAAACCATTAACCCTATCTACCCTGAGCACTAGACCCTAAATCCTATATTTATCCTCAGCACGAGACTCTATGTACCCTCAGCGCTAAACCCGATCTACCGTGAGTCTATACCCTTAACGTTACACACAAAAGTGGGTCTACCCTCAACCCTGCAGTTGAAAAGTTGAAACCCGAGACATTCAGGAGATGCCGTGGCAGAGGGCTTGGAAACTCATGGAGGCACGCGCTGGCCATCCAAAGAAAGATCGCCGAGTATGGTGCCTTAATGCCTTGACCCTAAACCCTAAACCCTAAACCCTAAACCCTAAATTGATACTTAGAGAAGGGTCCCTCTAAGGTTCTTTACAGGGTTTCTGTATGGGGTACTATACGAGGATAGTGTAGTGGCCTTAGCAATTAGAATCGGCTTTGCGGCAATTGGACTATAAGTGAATGTTGTTGAAAATGTACGAGGCTGAAAGCTTGAGGTTACAACGAGGACCCTGCTACTTCGGGATCGCGCCGTTTTGGAGGGTTGTATTGAAAACCTAGGCCGTAATTGAACCCTTTAAGCCCTAAACCTCGTCTGGGGCCCGAGCACCTTTGCGTCGGCTTTTTAGGTTTTGCTTTTTTGGCCCCCGCCCCTCCACCAGCTTTGAGGTCGGCTCAAGCCTTTGCACCGATTTCCGAAACGCCCCTTGATGTGGGAGTTTCCGAAAATAGGGGACCCTAATGTAGTACCCTAAATAGTAGGATCCTTATTATGAGGACCCCCAATAAGGGACCCCTACTTTTCGGAAACCCCCATGCAAGGGATTGGGGCTGAAGTTTTTGGTTTACTACGCACATGGCAGCTCCTAGCTCCCGGATGCCCTGTAAACCTTCATACAGTAGAAGCCAGAAAGTTGGAATATCATTATCGTAACCCCTTTAAGGTAAATTATAGGGGATCCTACCATTAATACATATTCCAACTTTCTGGAGTTCCCTTTAATACCAAATTCCAGTGAAGGTTTGGTTTAGGTGGTTCCCTAAACCCTAAACCCTTACATGTGCTTACGAGGACCGAAAGACCGGTCTCGGACTTACAAGTTTAGGGGTTTAGGGTTGAGTATTTAAGTAAGGTTAGGCTTTCTGAGGTACTACAGGGGCCTAAATTATTACTAATACTATTTTGGGGGTTCCGCGCTATAAGTAAAGCATAATGGGCCCCAAAACCCCATTCTAACTATTTAATCAACGCCCTTATCTTAGAGTACCTTTGTAGATCCCTTTAAAGGAACCCTCACATAGACCCCTTAAAGGTACCCTATTCTAATTATTAAGGCCCCTTTCTTTAGGCTTTGGAGGGCCATCCTGCAAAAGCCCTTGCTCTGAACCGTCTTTGATGTTTAGGGTTCAGGGTTATAGAGTTTGGGGTTTAGGGTTATAGGGTTTCGGGTTTGGGGTTACGGGGTTTAGTTTGGGGTTTCGGGTTCAGTGTTATAGAGTTTGGGGTTTAGGATTATAGGGTTTAGGGTTATAGGGTTTAGGGTTATAGGGTTTAGGGTTTAGGGTTTCTTCCTGCACCCTAAACCCACCTACTTGAAGGGTTATGGCTAGCTATAAGTAGGGTTATAAGTCCCCTAATATGGGTTATAACTACAGCTACCCTACTTATAACTACCCATGAGCCTCCAAACCATATATTTATCCTCAAGCTCAATCTACCCTTAGCCTTAAACCCGATCTAAAACTGACCCCAAGCGCCCGACACCCTAAGCCCTAGCTACCCTTAACCCGAAACACGAAACGGTGTCTACCTTAAACCCTACACTTGAAACCGGAGATATTCAGGAGATGCCGTGGCGGAGGGCGTGGAAACTCATGGAGGCACGGGCTGCCCATTTAACAAAGCCGCCTCGTATGCTGGCCTTAATGCCTTAATGATTGGAGTAGGTGTTCTTCAAGATTCTGCAAAGGGTTTCCGTAAGGGCTGCTACAAGGGGTGATGTAGGGGCCTTAGCAATTAGACTCGGTTTTTGGGCTTTCCTATATGATAGTGTAGATATGCAAGAGCTATAAGGGAATGTTGTGTCTTATTGCTTTGACCTCTTTACTAAGCTGTTGAACTTCTGCTGTGGTATGTGTGTTTCCTTGTTATGAATATCCTACTGGGTGAGGTCGACAGTTTACGGGCCATACAACGAGGATCCTGCAAAGTCCGGATTCCACCACGTTGGGGGTTGCATTGAAATCCCGAACCCAAAACTTAAACCGTTTTAGGGCCCGAGCACCTTTATGTGGGCTTTTAGGGTTTTTGCCTCTGGGCGCCGCACCACCAGCTTTTTTATGATCCGAAAGGCTCGAGCCGTCGCACCGATTCCGAGCACAAAAAGAGCTCCTGGGAGCCGCGTATACCTTTACAATAAAGTGCCGCAAGGAAGGTCGGGTTTAGAGAGTTCATTGTTCTTTAAAAGGTTCGTTTCGGATTTAGGGGTTATGGGTTTTGGGGTTTAAAACATATCTATCCTTAACCCTAACCACTACACGGTGTCAATCCTAGACCCTGCAGTTGAAACCCCAGACATTCAGGAGACGCCGTGGCAGAGGGCTTGGAAACTCATGGAGGCACGGGCTGCCGATCTAAAGAGAGGCCGCCTAGAATGGCGGCTTTAATGCCTTGTAATGATTGGAGTATCGTTCCCTTGGAGGTTCTTTGCAGGGTTTCTGTAAGGGTTGCTATGCAGGGATAATGTTTGCAAATCGCATCGGTTTCGGTTCCGAAAGAACTAGATCCCGACATGTCACTGGAGGCACTGGAAGCTCGGATAAGGCCGCAGAGTCGAGGGGTAAAACTGCTTCGCCGGACTCCGCCACGGAGGACAACAGCAGGACTCTCACTGTCGAGGCCGGGGCTTGGGATTTCGCCGGGTTTAAGATTTTCGGGTTTAGGATGAATGCATCACTTTGCAACAAAATCCAGAACCATTGAAGAACCCTTAGAGAGACTTGACAGAACCATTGAAGAGGCCTTGGAGAACCCTTGAAGCAAAAGACCCCCCAAAGCACCCTAAACCTGAACCCCTAAACCCTAAATCCGAAACACTAAACCCTAAATCCGAAACACTAAACCCTAAACTAGAAGCCCTGGCCTCCCTAGCCTTTCCGAAGCGACCCAGAGACTCCAATATCCCTTGATTAAGCAATATTCCTTAAATTATATTAAGGGTCCTATTATAATTTAAGGTATATTCCTTAATTAAGGGGTATTGGAGTCTCTGGGGAGGTGGGTAAGAACCCTAAACCCTAAACCCCTAAACCCGAGGTGGGTAAACCTTTTGCGGAGAAAGTGGAGCACGAGTCAATCATGGGTACGAGCTTTGACGGGGGAACCCAAAGCTCGACATATCCCTGCGGTTTTGAGTTTAGGGTTTTAGGGTTTTAGGGTTTAGGGTTAGGGTTCAGGGTTTAGGGGATTTTAGGCTTCAGGGTTCAGGGTTTAGGGTTTTAGGGTTCAGGGTTCAGGGTCTAGGGTTTGGGGTTTAGGGGATTTTAGGGTTCAGGGTTACGGAATCTGGCCTTGTTTTTGGGCCTCAATATTTCGGGAGGTTGATGGTTCTGTTTCTGGGGCTTTACGGCTGAGGTTTGAGGGTCCTAGTGATCTTCGCTTAGAGGTTAGAGTTCGAGGTTTAGGGTTCATTACGGAGATGCTGTGGATTTCGAGTTTTGGCTCTAGTAGTCTGGCACTCAGTTTCAGTGAGAGAGACATGGCCTTCCATCCAGATATAGGCACGATATATCTAAACCCCACCTGCCCTACTAGTAACTGTAGCCGGAAAGACCTGTTTTTTAGGGTTCCTTACTATGGTGTCTATTTGTTCTATATATATATATATAGTCCCTTAAAAAGGTAGGTCTCAGATTTGAGTAGCACGACCTGCAGTTCCAGATACCGGCAGTAGAGATCTGACTCTCTAAATCCCAAACCCCAAAAACCCTAAACCCCAACATCCGAAACCCGAAACACTAAACCCCCAAACCCCCAAACCCCAACACCCTAAACTCTACAGGTTCAGGCCGTAGGCTTCCGGCTGTGCCAGCCCCGAAGGTCTTTCTCGCTTGGGGGATCTTCTATTCAACCTACACCTGAACCCGCTAACCCCCTATACTATACTTCTCATTGTCCTGGGTTGTGTAGTATGTGATTTTAAGGTTTGGCTTGAGTTGGACTACAATCGAGCTCCATGCACTCTTCGTTTTGTTTGCAACACTTGCGGATTTGAGTTTCCAAACCCTTCGACATGTAATGCATTGGTACGCGCCCAAACTGCAACAGGGTTTCGGGTGGCGCTAGACCTAAGCCGAAATTAACACAGGGGCCGGAATAGTCTGAACGGTTAGTTGCAGCAGTATTCCTTAAGGCTTTCTGACCTGGTTATAGTGTAACGTAGCACCAAAGCTTATTACCCTAAACCCTACACCCTAAACCTTAAACCCTAAACCGGAGTGGAGGAGACATGTATACAGGACCCAAAGCTCCAAACCACAATCCTGATCTGCAATAGCCCTCAACCCTAAACCCTAACCCTCTATTCTCCTGAGGAATTATTCTGTATCTTTGGTCATATAAAACCCAAGAGAATATCGAAAGAAACAGTATGTTTATTGTGGTTCCAAGGGGGGTATAGAACCCACTTCCAAACCTCCAACCTCTAAATCCAAAGGATTCAGACCCAGCCCTGGATTTTTTAGTGGGATCCAGTGGAGCCAAAGCCTTCAATATGGGAGTTTCCAAAAATTCGGGTACCTTATTTAGGGGTCCTTATGAAAATGATCCTACCATTTAGGGTACTTTATTAGGGTCCCCGATAATATTCGGAAACCCTCATATCCATCCGCAGATGCCAGTTCAAGGATCGAGCCCATTTCGCACTAAACCCTAGACCGTATTTTGGGCCCTACTTGGAGGTTCATGGGTAGTTATAAATGGGGTTATAAGTAGGGTAACTATACTTATAGCCCATATTGAGGGACTTACAACCCTACTTATAACTACCCATGAACCTCCAAGTAAGTCTGTAGGACCCGTATTACGGGGCAGGAGTGCGTTCAATCTATGGTACTCTGAAAACAATCCACTCTAAACCTGTTGAGAGTTTAGAATACTTTGCAAGCCCCTAGAGAACCCTCTCAAAGTACTTGCAAGATGCCTATGAAGTACAATGCCCAGGACCTATGAAGCTATGGCTGGATCAGGCGGAGTTTGGCCAAGCTGGCTTCAGTTCGATCCCGTGCAGGCACCGGAAGAAGTGGGATCCTGCTTGTGAATTGTGCAATCAATCTTGGGGTCTCTGGATCTTTCAACATGTCCAATGTATCTAACATGCATATACATGTGTATATATATATATACACATGTACACACACACACACATATATATATATATATATATATATATATATGCATACATACACTCACGCGTTTTTATGTACCCACACAGTCTATACAGACATTCATGCATAAACGTACACACATTTCAAGAAGATGCTGTGCTAGCTCTTATGCTTTACGAATCGAGAAGTCTGCGTGGTAGGAGATGAAGGTTTCTGAGGTTTGGGGTTTGGGGGGCCGGAGCTGACTGGTGAGACTATGGTTCAGGGTTCAGGGTTTAGGGTTTAAGGTTTAGGGTTTAGAGTTTAGGGTTTAGGGTTTAAGGTTTGGGGTTTAGAGTTAAGGCATTAAGGTTTGGGATTAGGGTAGGTAGCAGCTCCACCGAAGCCCTGAATGAACCCGGAGTTGATGGCGCAGGTTCTCGTATGACCGCAGGCGAGAATCTGGAGTCTATCGAGAGCTCACTATAGGGGCCTAAGCATTTACCTATACTGTTTTGGAGGTTCCTTGTTATAGTATCATGGGCCCCCAAACCCTATTCTAATTATCAAGGCCCCTTGAATGGAGTGGAGGTGACAGGGGTCAATGCAATCCCCCGGCTGCAGCTAGGGACTCCGCGCTATCATCGTAGTGCAAGTACTGTACATGTCGTGGCAGACATCATCTTGTAGCAACATTCGTCAGGATCAGAATGCCATTTCGAAGGTCGGCATGGAGTTGTGGTACAAGTAGGTACCAGAACATGCATCACCCTACCCTATCTTACCCTCCCGCCTTACCTCAGCGACAAAGCGAAGCAAGACTCTGTGTGAAGCCTGTGGCCGGATGAAGCCACCGTCATCTCGTCCGTGGGGCTTCAGGGTGTATGTAAGGTTTCCCTGAGTGATTCTGTCGGTTGTGGTGAAAAAACGGCCTCTGTGCTGCTGTCGTTGTTGTTTAGTTTTTTGACGGTTATGACTGCGGCAAGTCTCAACAGGCTAGGATTTCGTATTCTGTCGAGGGCCGGCTTTACGGCATCCCAGCCGCCGTCAGCGAGCCGATGTCGACTCCGATCGAGGCCGTTCTTGGAAAAGTGTGGCTTTGCGGGACTAAGCAGCTTGAAGGACATCATGAATGTAGTAGGGGCTTGAAAGATGACTGATACTGTCGTAAGGTTTTTGAATGTGACTGTAGTATGGTATGCCCCCCCCCCAACCCCGTCGGCCCCCTCGTTGAGGACTTCGATTCGTGGCTGAGCCCCTATAGACAAGGTCCCCTGCGTTTATGAAACCCAATCTTTGGGATGCTTCATATCCCCATTCCCGGTAACATAGAATCCTGCAGAAACAGTTCCTGCGATTTGTGCGGGCTCCCGATACGAATTATGCAAGCAGATGCTTCAATATCCTATTCTATTCAGGCCCTCACAGATCTTGCTTGGAATATCTACCGCAGCAATACACGAAGAGCGGATGTACACCCTTAGATGAAAGAACCAATGCACCCATATGCCATAGTAGCGACAGTATTTGCGCCAACCGACGGGTAGAAATGCAGCAAAGCACTTCCGCGCAGGTTGCGAAGACAACCTTTTCTGGCGGTCAGTTCAACCATGACACCTTCAGATACAAGCTGGTTGTGGTACCTGCTGGTGCGGAAACAACAAGTCTGCGCACGACGACTGTGGTGTCCACAACAGATGCATTGACCGGAGCTGCAGCTACCATGCTCGGTATCAGTTCCCCAGCAGCCACTCCCGGTGCAACAGGAGGAACTGCACAAGGAACCTCAGCGGCAACCGGCGCATCCGGAAGCATAGGCGCCGGCCCCTCAGCTGGCACCCCCGGTGCAACAGGAGGAACTGCACAAGGAACCTCAGCGGCAACCGGCGCATCCGGAAGCACAGGTGCCGGCCCCTCGGCTGGCACTGCCGGTGCAACAGGAGGAACAGCACAAGGAACCTCAGCGGCATCTGGAAGCATAGGCGCCGGCCCCTCAGCTGGCACCCCCGGTGCAACAGGAGGAACTGCACAAGGAACCTCAGCGGCAACCGGCTCATCCGGAAGCATAGGTGCCGGCAACTCAGCTGGCACCCCTGGTGTAGCAGGAGGAACTGCACAAGGAACCTCAGCGGCACCAGGCGCATCCGGAAGCACAGGTGCAGGCCCCTCGGCTGGCACTGCGGCAACCCCTTCACCTGCAAGTGCAGGGACAATGAAAGCATCCAGCGCAGCGGCCAGCGAAGCTGCAACTGCCCCAGCATCGCCGTCTACACCTGCAAGCCAGGGTGACACGAAGCTAGGCATCCCAGCAATGTCGGTCTCACCAGCAGGCACTGCAGCGACGCCGGCTTCGCCTGAAAGCCCGGCCGCAATAGCGACAGGCACTCCAGCGCCACCAGTTTCGCCTGTGAGCCCGGCGTCCATGGCAGCAGCTGATGATCTAGCAGCCCAAGCAGCAGCGGCGGCCGAGAGCACCACAGGCCCACCTGCAGGACCCACGACCAGTATGGTGAAGCGCCTTTGCTGCAACAGCACTGAAGGGACAATGTGGCGCTTTATTTCGCTCGTTCGCAGTTGACAATGGCGTGGTTCCATGTTTCCGCTTGCTCTGACATTTTCTGGACCACGAGCTTGAAAAAGTCCTGAATCATTCCAAGGCTTGTTCCATCAGACAAGGAGAAAGCTATTGCGGAGGAGCTCATTCAGCACGAGGTGCCAGAGAAGTTGGCTACACTGGCCGCTTTGCAGCACAAAAGCTTAGGGGTACTTAGAAATAATTTTTAATTTTTGGTTATTATAATCCCTAAGAAACAGCTAAAATTGTAATTTTTGCTAGGGTTCTAAGTTCAGTAGAGAAAGGCCAAGGGCGGGAGTTGCTTGAGTTTAGTTGTTCCCAGGCGTTTGGAGCATTGTTGCTCTGTTGGCTGGTCTCACAGTTGATATATTTCGCGAGTATCCCAGTACATATTCGCGATCATCGCCTTGTTGCTCTTCTGTTCTAACCTACTGCTATGATCGTCGTTGCCGTTGCTGTTGCCGTCGCGGTCGCGAACGTGGTCGTGGTGGTGGTGGTGGTGGTGGTGGTGGTGGTGGTGGTGGTGGTGGTGGTGGTGGTGGTGGTGGTGGTGGTGGGTGGTCTGTTGTTTTGTCGCTTCCAGATTAAGCAGTCTTGTTCTTGTTGTCATTCTTTGGCTCCAAAGCTTTTCTGTACCAGACCCTAAACCCTAAACCCTAAACCTCAGACCCGGTATCTGAATCGCTGACGCATTCGGGGGTTCTCAAGGCTTCTGCATTCAGGGCTCGCCAGTAAGGCATAAGTAGTAGGTGGGATGGTGAGTTATGATGGATCTAGGGTTTTAGGGGCTTGAGAGGTGAACTCGAAGCCTTTCTCTGCGCAGTTCCCAAGACTGACACGACGGCATGAAGCCAAGCAACAAAATTAAAGTTTACAGCAGTGGCAGCAACAACAAGAAAGCTGAGAAAACCAAACGAAGCCCATCGTCACGCTGGGATAATTGCTATCATATACGCCAGACCCCGGCAACTACGGCTTTACGTCACGCACTACATGTCCGAAGTGCTCGCAGCCTTTGACGCGAAACCGCACAGGGCAGTGTGGGACACCTTCCAAGTCCCGGTTTTGGCGGATGCATCATTCAGGCCGGGTTCTTGGGGAGCCAGATTCCGTTCCGGGGCTTTATGGTTCAGGGCTTGTGATGTGTTGCATTTTCAGGGCTCAGGGCTCTTATGGTTCGGGGCTTTCGGGGTTTGGTTCAGGTTTAGGAGATCAGAACTGAGGAGATTTGCGGGTTAGGTTTCACGTTTAAAGACGGAGCAGTGGGAGATACTATACTCCCCAAACTCACGAACCCAAACACTTGCAAGCGAACCGCGCGTGCTTTTGTTTTGAGGAATGATATCATGAAGCGCTATAGAAGTCCAATATGAAGCATTGAACACCTTGCAAGATTCAGAAGCTCTGAGCCATTTCAGACATCCCTCGGGCATGAGGAAGGCCGTAATGGCTTGATGTAAATACATTAATGTAGAACCCGCTTCGCCGAGTAATTAAGTACCTGGTACCGCTTAGTAAGTAAGGTGTATGGCGTTATGGAAGGGATGCTAATATTCAGGCCCTGATATGAAGGCTGTTTATCAACCATGGGTCTACATTGTAAAATTGTAGACTACCAGGGGTCTCGTCAAGCAGCCATAAATCCTCACAGAATCTCACAGATAGCCTGAGCTTCGTGACTTTTCTCAGTCGCTTTTGGAAATAGAGCCTTGTGATGGCACCTCGGTTTCTTTTGTGTACCCGAAACCCTAAACCCAAAACTTTGACCTTCAGGCGGAGAGTTTTCTGTTTTTTCGGGGTGGAACGGCATTGGTGCTGCTATGTCTCAAGCAAACACAAGCAGTGGCAGGGTTCTTCGGGAGGTGTTCGACAAATGGGACATGTCTTCTGCAAGTGCCTAGATGCATTCTGTTCTGATTGTGACTCGTGACTCGTGTGAAGGAAGCCGCAAAAATCTAAGCCGTCGTTTTCAGTCCGAGCTTCCTATGCCTTCCTAACCTTGCGTCGAAGCCACTGACACTACAGCCGAAGCCCCAACGGCAAATCCCGCTTTTTATATGGCTACAGGGTTGGTGGCTCGGAGGTTCAGAACTCAGGGAGCCTTGGGCTGATAGCAGCTCCGAAATTGAAACGGCGAAGGCGAGAGTCCACAGCACTACAGGTTTAGGGTTTTGGCAAGTTTAGGGCCTAGGGTTTCAACCTATGGGTTGTTAAGACTTAAACCTTATAATAATTATGAACAAAGACCCCATCAACTGCACCCAGCGAGGATGCGATGTGCGACCCGCTTGTGCCCCAGCTGCACAGTCAGAGTAATCTAGTGGGCGGTTTCGTGTTGAGGGTTCAGGAGCACATGGGGAGCGCCGGGTTACGGGCCTAGACCTTCGCTTTGCACAGCGGGGATATTTTCAAACCCTAATTTTCGGAAGCTCCCATATCAGTTGCTGAGGGCTTCTTCGTCTGATAAAGATGATGTTCCTCCATTAAGTGGTGCTTGACTCTCTGACGAATCTTGCGAAGGGGGTTTAGGGTGTAGGAGTTTAGAGTTTAGGGTTTAGGGTTCAGGGTTTCCGGCCTTAACTTAATCGCAAAACCCCAAACATCTTAAGGAGGGTGAAGAAGTTTGAAGATCACGGCTTCAAGCAGCACCCACATGCCGAGCCTTACACCCAAGACCCTGATCCCTGAATCCCGTGCCCAAGGCAGTCCCCAAATAGACCCCTAACTCCGCCGAGCCCGAGCGAGAGAGACAGAGAGAGAGAGAAGGCCCGTTCTTCCAGTCTTGGACTAGGATGCCCAGTAGTACCTTTATTCAGTCCTAGGTTCAATATAAAGTTACCCAATACCAAAAAGGGAGCCCTCTTTGTTCCTAGATTACTGGGCATCCGAGTGGAATAAGGGGGGATTGTTCAAAAGGGATCGGGGGAAGCTGCCTCCAAAGAACCGCCCTGAAACCTCGAAGCTCTAGATCCAACAACCCCAAAGCCCTCCAGATCCTGAGCCGTCAAGGTGAACCCCAAACAGCAATTATATAGGGGCCTGAAGAATTACCAACTCATCATATTTATAGTAGACTGGGCACCAAAACCCTAGTCTAATTATTAAGGGCCCCTAAACTAAAGTACCCTTTATAGAGCCCTTTAAAGGAAACCTTATATAGACCCCTTAAAGGAACCCTATTCTGCCTATAGCAACAGCAAAGGAAGAGACCCTCGAACCCCAACTTGCATCCTGACAAAGCATGGAGCGACCTTGGAGAATCCATCCTCTGCCCCCCCAACGTAGGAACCTGATTAAGAAACCCTGGCCTTATAACCCCAAACTAGTAGGATTCATAGACGGAACCCTAATAAAGGCCCAAGGTTTCTTAATCAGGTTCCTACATGAGGTCCTACACCCTAAGGTCTGCAAAAACCCTAAAACCTAAACTCAAGCCCGAAAAACCTCCTTAAGTCAACACCCCACAGTGTCTGCATACCTTGAGGACACGAACCCTGAACCCTAAACCCTAAACCCCAAACCCCATACCTCGAGGACATGAACTGGTCTCTAGAGGAGCTGGGAAGAACAGCAGAAGATGCAGAGGACTGCCAGCAGACGCTCGGCTCAGACGCGGGGGTGGGGTTGACGGTTTAGGGTTCAGGGTTTAGGGTGCAGGGTGTAGGTTAGGGTTTAGGGTTTCGGGTTTAGGGATTAGGGTTTAGGGTTCAGGGTTCAGCAGCCCCCAGTTCGAGTGGTTTCTAGTCGATCTTGCTACCCCCGGTATCGGGAATCATCCCGCGAACTCAAGAATCCCAGACCATTGGGAAACCCTACAGTGCCACAAAGGAAGCCTTAACGGAGTCCTAAGCCTCAAACCCCGAACCGAACCCAACAGGACCACCGAAAGGAGAATTAATTGATGAAGCCCGAAACCGCACAGGAACCTAAAAGGAGCCCCTAAACCCTAAACCCTAAACCCTAAACCCTAGGCCCGACGAGGCCCCAATCCTGAACCTCAGGGCTAGACCCTCAACCCTAGGGCTTAAGTCCCGGCCCACGGCGCTTAAATCCTGAGGCCTGGATCCGAAACCTTGCGGCCCTAAATCCTGAACCCTACCTCTCCCCTGAATATTAGAATATCCCACCTTTTCAAATCATATAAGGAAATCATAATAAGGAGCCCTAAAATAGGATATTTAGGGTTAAGGTAGGGCTTCAATCCTAAGAACGGCACGAAGACAAAACGGTGGCCGACGAACTTCGTCGCCATATTGAAATACATTAAATTCATTTTTTATATAATATTACACTACATGATATTATGTAGTATTTATAGTCTTATAGTGACACAAAGTTTAGGGCCTCGGGGTTTGATCTAACAGGGCTTTGATGAGTGGAATAGTGACTGGGGCTTTTTGGAGTTGAAGGTTTTGTAGAGTCTCATCAAAAGAATCTAGGGACCTCAATGGTTAGAATACTTCTTTTGGGTGGTTTCGTCCTAATAAGGGTTTCAGAACGGAGTAGTTGGTTTTTTATATGGTCAGAGAGCCTTGTCGGGTTCACAGGGATACTGTAGGAGTTAGTATATGGGCTGCTTTGAGGGTTACATGCATACATGGGCCCCAGGGGTCTCGGGAGATTGAAGATTTGGCTGTAGATGCCGGCTAGTTAAACCCCTAAAGCCTTAAAGCACCGAAGCCGCCTAAATCCCCCAGAGCTGTTCGCCCAAACTTTGATACCTTACTTAGCGCAGTTTGGAGAACGAAGCAGGAGCAAGGAGACGATGCCGACCTAAAAGAGAGATGTGGAGGGAGGGAGACAGAGAGATGCGTACAGGTGTATGTATGCATAGCTGTATAACTGTAGAGTGTGTGTATGTATATATATATATATATATACACAAATACATACGCATGCACATATATATGTACATCTGCGTGTGTAACTAGAGCGCGAGAGAGAGAGAGAGAGAGAGAGAGAGAGAGAGAGAGAGAGAGAGAGAGAGAGAGAGAGAGAGTCCCCCAGTTGGCTCTACAGTACAGGGGCCTAGTTAATGAATTACCAATATTGTTTTGTGGAATCCTCACTATGAACATAGTATAATGTGCGCCAAACCCTCTTCCAATTATTAAGGCCCCTACATCATAGAACCCTACTAAAGACCCCTTATAGGAACCCTTCAAAGGAACCGGATTCTGATTATTAAGCCGCTTATAGTTACCGTATGTTTCAATGCCTGGATTCCTCAGAAACTTTTCTGAAGGTCGCCTTCAGAAGTTCAAATCCTTATTTGTGCCACGGTTTAGGGTTTAGGCTTTTGGGTGTAGGGTTTCGGGTGTTTCGGGTGTAGGCTGGGGTTTAGGGTTTCGGATTGGTTGGGTCTTGAACACGACGACTTTGCATGCACAAGACCCAGAGCCCCTCACTGAGGCAGTGCCGGGACAAGGTGAATTGCGCTTGCTTTACCTACTACGCGCACCTGCACCACGGCATGTGAACATGGGTCGATTTTTGTGAAAGTCTGATCATGGCTGCTACGAGTGAATGCTGCTTTGGGTGACAGGAAGTTGGGTCAAGTTAGTAGTGTTTCGGAGACAGGGCGGCGAGGATGTCTGAACTGACCACTGCCACCATGCGGCAGACGTACACGTCGAAACAAGGAAACGCAAGGCAAGCACGAAGCAGAGTCAACGATGATCCATGTAGGTGACACATCCGCATGAACCTCAGAGTAGAGTCGAAAGGGGCTTTGCCCTAAGCCATAAACCTGATTCAAGGTCCAGTCTACTGTATGTATGCCATTTGATCACTGTCATTGTTAATCCATATGATACGTCTGTGTCTGCATCAGCATTCCAACCCAGCAATGTCCTACTTCGAGAAGAAGGGCTGAAGCTAGGGGATTAGCAACCCTAAACCGCCTAAAGGCTTGCTAAAACCCTAGAAACGCAACGACTCCAAACAAATTCGCCGAGAGCGCGCCGTCCCACACCGAAAGCCAGAGGCAGCAGTTGCAAGAACATGCCCTGCCTACATGTATGTAACGTCATGAAAGGAAGCATAGTTGAACGTCTGTAATATCTAATCTTGGGCTTATAGGGTATGGGGGTACAGGGTAGAGGGTTGGGAACCTAGGGTTTAGGATTTAGGGAGCCGACGATCCCAGGAAAGCGTGCCACTTCGGCTCTGCCATGTCCGATGTGCGGAAGGACACACCAGGCCCCCCGACACTTCAGTTCCAGTGGGCTTACCCGAAGGATCCGGGGGCCTTCGTAACTAGGGTTACGGTTAAGGTAACTATAGTTACATACACCAGGGACTTCGTAACCAGGGTTATGGTCAAGGTAGGTATAGTTATAAATACTTATAGCCCCAGCCAAAGGTATCTATCACCTTACTTGCGAAGTCCCATAATCCTCCAAGTAGCGTTTCGCATTTAGGGTGTTTGAGTTTTCGGATTAGGTTTCGGAGGCGACAGGTGTAATAAAAACATCGGGGCCTAAATAATTGCTCATGCACAGATCCGACCGCCTGCAGTTTGGGTCCACTGAGATGTTTGAGATCTGTGCGCGCCTTCCGCAAGACTGCGATCATACAGACCCGCGCTAGAACCCAACCGCCAATAGTATGCAGGATTTGCTGTGCCTAAACCCTAAACCCCTTAAACCCCAAACCCAAAACCCTCCCTAAGCCCCCACTTGGAGGGTCAGGGGACTTAGCAGCTGGTTATTGTAGGGACAAGTACCATAACCCCAATTAGGGTCCCTTTTAGGGTACTTATAGGGCTACTTACTACCTGCTTACTTAGTCCCTGAACCCTAAACCCAAACCCTATACTACCCTTATAGAGCCCAGGAGCCCTTACTAAGTCCCCTTACCCTCCAAGTAGACCCGTCGGCCCCTAAACCCCTAAACTCCTAGGATCCCTGCGCCAGTCTCGCCTGGATCGTCCGACGACCGCTTCATAAACACCTAAACCCCTAAACACTGAGAAAACCTAAACCCTAAACCCTATAGAAACCCTAAGCCCCTGAACCCCTAAGCCCCTAGAACCCTTAAAACCCTAAACCCTTAAACCTCCTGATTGCAGTGAGAGTCGGCCTGCGAAGGTTTCGTGGGTGGGAAGGCTTACTGTGCTGCTTGGCTGGGGTTTAAGGGTTTTTCGGGGTTTTTGGGGGTGTTGAGTGGTTTAGTTTTTTTTTTTTTGTTTTTAGGGGTGTTGGGGGTTTTAGTGTTTATAGGGTTTAGGGCTTTCAGGATTTCGGCTTCAGGGCTGGCGTCTTTGGTTCAGGTCGGGGAGGGCCTAGGGAAGAGGGCTCTATTGGGAGTATGTTGCGCAAATGCTCGGTCCGAGTAGCTGGAGTATCCGGCTGTACTACTTACACAACTAATTACATCAGCAAATACACAGAAAGCCCTTTAATTATTTAGACCCTGACCCCTAGACCCTGAACCCTAAATCCTTTCCTAATTATTGCGGCTCCTACGTCACACTTATAAATGATGCTCCCCGGCCGAAACTTATATAGGGGCCTCAAGAATTACCTATACTACGGTTGATGATATTAATCCTGCATTACCCATGTGCAGGATTTAGCTCCTCATCAACAGTATTTTTAGGGGGTTCCTCATTTCTATTTCTAGCATACTGGGCATTAAAGGCCCTAGATTATGGCAAAAGCCTTCGTTTGTCAGAAATGATGCGGCCGCCTGCATGAGAACAAGTATTCTGCTTGCACGCCCTTGCAAACGTCGCTTGCATATTGCCGGACTCTTAGGGCTTCCGGGTTTAGGGGTTTAGGGTTTAGGGCCTATGGGGGTTGCATTTCGCTTTCGGGCTTTCGTCTGTGCACTAATGCTGTAATGACGAACCCCAACCCCAAACCGTAAACCTAACCCGACCTAAACCCAAGCCGCCATAGGCTCTCAACCCTAAACCCAGCCAGCGAGACCCCAAACCCTAGATCTTAAAAGCCTTAAACCCGTGCTCTAGCCAATGCGATTTTGGGGGGCTCCTTTTTCTAAGTGTATTATAATGGGCCCCAAAACCCTAGTCTAATTATTAAGGCCCCTATGCTAAAGTACCCTTATAGATCCCTCTAAAGGAAACCTTATATCGACCCCTTAAAGGAACCCTATCCTGGCCCCCTATACGAAGCCCGAGCCTGAGGACGAAGCCTTGCAGGGGCTTGCCCCTCACACTGTGACGCAGATCATTCGGAAGAGGTCGGGTTTAGGGTTAAAGGTCTAGGGTTTAGGGCGGGTTTAGGGTTGAAGGTCTGGGGCTTAGGGGGTCGTGTTAAGGCTTTGACGGTTTATGGTGGAGGGCTGGTGGTTTAAGGCTTCAGGCTTGAGGGTTTCGCGTTTGAGATTTGCAGGACCCTTCCTGCTACTAGGCTATCTGATAGGGTTACCGAGGGGGACCACCAGAAGCACGTACGGAAGGAACCTGCATCTGCATCTTCTCCTAAAGTGGCTGTAGACGTCCTCATCATTACACTAGACACTGAGCCCGTAGATAAACCCCTACTTGGAGGGTCGGGGGACTTATAGTAAGTAGGTAGTACGTAGACTTATAAGTACCCTAACAGGGACCCTAATTGGGGTTATGGTACTTATAAGTCCCAAAAATAGCCAGTTACTAAGTCCCCCGACCCTCTAAGTATACAATCAACTTCACTTCGGATGGGTTAAGGGTTCAGGGCTTTAGCGCCACGGCCGCAGCTTTCATTGCAGGTAGCTGCGAAGATCGGGCCCAGGTTTCTTGTCGGGTTCAGGGGTTCAGGGTCTAGGGGTTTAGGGTTTAGGGGGGTTTAGAATTCAGGGCTACAACAAATGAACGCCCCCAGTGCAGGAAGTGCATGTCGGATGTCTCCTTCGTGCCGGCGATGTGCACGAGCCTGCGGCCTCAACGATCACGCGTTGCTGCAGGGGCCGTAAGAGTTCAAACAGGGTTCGTCTAATGATTCCTTAAACGGTTTCCAGAAGGGGTACTACACAATGTATCACCAGAGTTCAGTATAGAGGCCTCTATAGTTAGCTTAAGGTTTAGTCTTTATTAATGGGGTATGTCATAGGCAAGGACGCCTGATGCGTGACCAGCGTTTGGCGGCATAGCTGAAACAGGCATTGTGCTAAGACCGATGGAAAACGCGCATCCAGGCTACATAGCAGTGCTGGGAAAGGCGCAGAATCCCTGCGACAAGTCGATCGTTCTTAGGGAAACATGGTGCTGGCGCTGCAGTAAAAACAAGTTTTTCGAGCACTGCGTTGCGCACGTGTTTGCAGTTTCGGGCGGGGATGCCTCCGAGAGTGGCCTTCAGCTTTTCTGATTGCGTCTCTGGTGGTTACGACTTTTGTAGAAGCCTAAAAGTTGGAAACCCAACAGCCTCAATCCTTAAGACTATCATGCATAGCGATTCCCAGCACTGTTTGTCCTTAATCCGGTTTCCAACTTTATGGCGTTTACTGTAGAGTCCGGCTTGTTTGCTGACCCTGGCCCCGCTGTTTTTGACTCTGTTTGCTGACACGCGCCTTTGCCCCTGAATTAGGGACCCAAAAGCACATAAGCATAAGCATTTTATGGGGATACCCCTACCTTATTGGGCTTCATTATAAGGGGGTTATTATGGGATATCCCTATCCTACTTTTTGCTTATGTGCTTTTGGGGGCTCTACTGAACTAGAGCTGTGTCATCGAGTAAAACCAATAAGAAACAGCTAGACTGCATCACAACTGCGGCTAGCACAGACTATATATGCTACAAGCAAGGAAAAGGAAAAGTCACATGCAAATCTACATCTATATCTGTATCTATATCTAGATCTATTATAGCTGTGCATATATTGTTGTCCGGGCTTTATGGTCCGGGTCCTGCGGGGGTTTTCTCGGAGTTCAGGGTTTAGGGGTCCGGACGGGTTTGAAGGCTATACTGCAAAACGTCAACTCTACACACCAGCCCCCGTCATGAACCCCAACCTTACCCGGAATCGCCAAGAACGCTTTCTGCAGCCCTCTGCCCGCCAAGTTCGTGCACCCACCACCTTCCTTGACGATCCTGTCGACTGCCAGCACAGGCAAGCGATGTGGGGAAGTGGATTTCGTGCTTGGAGTGTTTCGCCATGTCTCCCTGTCGGTTTCAGGTTTGCTCTACAGTAATAATTGAAGGTTTGCTTATTATAGTTATAGTATAATGGGCCCCAAAACCCTATTACAATTATTAAGGCCCTTACAGTAGTCGCTTTCAGCAGAGGTTTGCTTGAATAAGGATGCTGCGCTCGTTTTTGGAAATGTCCCTGCTGTGGAACATCATGTGCGTGCAGGCACCACAGCTCTGGGAATTGAGCGCACCTGCGGAATCTCAAGTGTAGAAAGGTTGTGAAGATGTGGGCCAGAGACTTGTCCCACGGCGATCATCTTTGCTCGACTCAATGTAGAGGTCGAACAGATTATGGTATATTCCTTGTCATGGGTAATGCAGGATTTCTATCATCGACCGAAGTACTATCAAACTTATTCCTGAGGGTTCCTTGATCTGGCTGGCCCAAAACCCTATTCTAATGACTAAGGCCCCTATATTAAGTGCCGAAGTGAGCCAAGTCCTCGAACGACAGACTTGGGGTTACGTTTCATGGCTCCTGGTTTTGGGTGGTTGAGATCTTGCGGTTTGCTTGTGTTTTGGCGGTACAGGGTCTGTGGCTTGTGCTCTGAGGTGTAGCGGTCGGCCAGCCGCATGTTTTTTCGAAGATGCACCCTTGAGAAGAAGTTTCATGTTTGCTATGCTGCCGTACTGTGAAAGGTGCGCCGTAGCTGGACGGCTGCAATTGCAGAGGGGTGGAACGGTACATGTTGCATTGGGACCTTCGAAATTTGCCTAGCTGGCTGAATGCATGTGGCAGTTCGCGTCGAGTTGCTCCGGCCGTCCCAGCAGTTGCTTGGCCACAGGTGTCAAGACCACGATTGGTGCAGCAGCTTTGCCTACGACACGTTGACAAAGAGCTGTGTTGCTTGGATGCACCTACTTGTAGGGTCGGGGGACCCACTAACTGGTTATTTTGGGGACTTATAAATACCATAATCCCAATTAGGGTCCCGTGCAGGGTACCTATAAGTCTACTTACTACCTACTTACTAAGTCCCCCGACCCTCCACGTAACAAAACCCAGGCCTGCTGCGTCCACGTGCCATGAATCTACAACCTGCACCCTCGACGGTTGTTTTACTTCTTGGTACTAATTACTAATAATCACTATAATCACTGAAAGCCTGCCAACCCTAAACTCCATACCCTAAACCTTAGAAAACGTGCAGAATCCTGCACAGCCAGAGCTTCCTGGATTCTGCTGCTCAGCATGTCGGGTTCAGGCCATGTTTTGCAAAGCATTGCTCTTTAGGCCTGATGTCAGTGCGTGATATAAACGGTCAGTGCATAATGTATGGGCATCAGTAAGGAAAACGAAAATGGTATTGGTAATTATGATTCGGCCCCTATATTGCTTTGCATATGCAGTGCATGCCCGCATATGACCTCTCTAACTCCCTCTCTCACGCGTACTCTCTCTCTCTCTCTCTGTCTGTGTCTCTTTTTCTCTCTCTCTCTCTCTCTGACAACGACAACTGTATAAATGTAAGCCTGCGTTCATCTACGTGCATTCTGGATTCTCTCTTATGTTGTAATTATTTAACTGCTTGACATCGTAGCTCGAACCACCCGCTCGTTTGGGCCCTAGCACCAGGACCAAGAACAAGGGTAGGTTCTCCAGATCTCAGCGCAGATCTGAAGAATATGGGTTTGGAGTTTAGAGTGCATAGGCTTAAAGGCTTTAGGACGCCAGATTCGAGGAAAGCATCGCTCCCACATTCCACAAGATACACCAGAAACCAGGGCTTCGAGGTTTGAGGTTTAGGGCCAAGTTTAGGGGTTAGGGTTCAGATGCCCCAAGCCTGCATCCTATACCTCAAACCCTACAACCAACACTAGCCCTAAACCTCAAATAAACGCACAACCGAAAGTCCAGCTTTTTGGGGCGTGCCAAACTGCCAACCAGGACCTTCAATGCGCAAACGCAACGCCGATCCATGCGCCGGTCTACACCATGTGCTCCGACTGCAAACCCATGGGGCCAAAAGATCATGTAAAGATACTGCATCTTACTGTTGATGACATAAATCCTGCATTACCCTAAGGGCCCTAAGCTATGGGAACTATGGTATATTCCTGATTATGGGTAATGCAGGATTTATATCATCAACCGTACGGCCTAGGGCCTAGGTTTCCGAAGCTGGACTCTGGCAGTATGGTGGCCTTTTAGTGCCGGAACCAAAGCTTCCTTATGTTGTCGTGGTCTTTCAGGGGTGGCAAACTCCGAAGCCACTGCTGCATCCTACAAGTGCCCCAGGGAACCCTATAGCAATATACACATATATATATATATGTATATATATATATATAGTAATATTCATGGTCATGATTTTCATTATTATAGTGGTTGAAGATCGTTACTCTGCTTATGAATTATTTGTACTGCTGCGGTTATCATTATTATTATCATGATTCTGCCTTATCAAATTACTACTAGCATTACTTACAAAGCCTAAGTCCCAGTTATGTCGTGATTGGGGAGTCATGGCTGCAGGGCTAGGCTTCGGGGCTTCCGCGGCATGCATGTTCTTAAGGTACAAATTTCAGAACTCGCTGTTTAGGGTGCAGATTTCAGAACTCTCTTTCAGCAGTTGGGTTTCGGGTTTCTTGACTTTGGGCCGTTTTGGGGATTGGGCCAGACTTAAATACCCTGACGACTTCAACGCACCAAGACCTCCGCGAGCAAGAAACCCAAAGGCCTCAAAACGGAACACCTAAACCCTAAACCCTAAGCCCCAAACCCTAAACCCTAAACCCAAAGCCAAAAACTACGAAAATCTACGGGCTTATAAGCCGAAGCCCTAAGCAACAGACGGGAGCTACAAAAAACGGAGTTCACCTGGAGTTTCATGGGTAGTTCTAAGTGGGGCTAGAAGTCCCACACCATGGGTTATCATGCCTATACATGCATTAACACTGCCCATGAGCCGTGAAGTAAGCCCTAAGCCCTAAACCCTATAGAATACATATCAAGCCTCGGCCCTAAACTCTGAACCCTGAACCCTAACCCCGTTATTACTACCCATGATCCTCCAAGTGAACTCTACACCCTATACCCTTACAGAATCCCTATAGATCCCTTTAAAAGGACCCTTAAACTAAGAACCCTATACCCTCACAGAATCCCTATAGATCCCTTTAAAAGGACCCTTAAACTAAGAAGCCCGGCGGGGAGGTCCGGACCAAAGATCTGCAGTCTGAGCCTGGTCCTGGGCATGACATTGACGTGCCCATGGAACTTTGACTATGAGGCAACCGCTTGGGGGTCCCTTAAAAGGGATCCGAAAAGGGTTCCTGAAAAGGATCGGGATCCGTAAAGGGTACTCTGAGGCAACCCTAAGCCCTGAACCCTGGAGTTCAGGTTTAGAAGGTGGTGTTTCTTAGGGTTTAGGGTTTAGGGTTGAGAGTTTAGGGCTTTGCTCAACCCTCGACACCGAAGCCAAAACCCCAAACCCAAAGCTCTACATCCTAAACTCCTAAACTGCTACATATTGCTTTTCGGGGTTCGGGGTTTAGGGTCAAAGGTTTTCGGACTGTTTGATTGTACCAGGTTATGATTTGGTATTTATTTAGAGGGTTTGTAAAGGTTTTTGATCTGCCTATCTGTCAAACATATCAATAAGTAGGAATATGGACAAACAAACAAGTTTACATAAGTGTATATACATATGTACATATTTTTCATGTATATATTTATTTGTTTACATGTTTCTTTGTTTTTTGTGTTGGAGAGCAGTGGGGGTGCGGGGGTCGGCGTGGCGAGGTTTTATCGTGTTCTTGTAGGGCTTAAGGCTTTTATCGTCTAGGTTCAGGGTTTTAGTGCTTGGAGAGTCTAGTTGAGGACTAATTAAGTGCCATGGGCTGCGAAATGTTGGTGTATGTATACTACTCGCACCTTTGCCCGGGACATAGCAATGCTTGCAGAGCCGCGTGCAGGCGGAGAAATGGGCACAGGCACGGGGGACTTGGAGGGGCAGGGACGCTAAACCCTAAACTCTAATGAAGGGTTTCTTTGAGGGTTTAGGATATGCTGCCCTAAACCCTAAACCCTAAACCCTAAACCGTTTTGCAGACTGGGATTCCCTTGCAGGGTGCAGGACTTCAGGGCGCATGATTCGCGTCTAGATGTAATTAGTGCTCATGAGGAAGCGAGCGCTATCCTTGGACCCTTGATGTTGAGAATTAAACCCCTAGACTTAGACTTCTAATGAACCTTACACTTCTAGTTCACTCGGAATAGTATAATCAAGCAACAAAACTACGAAGAATCAAAATTACGAGTTAATGGTAGTGATAATCGTAATAATGGAAGTAATAGCAATAATGTTGATAAGAATCAGCATAAAACAGGAATCATACTGAGCTAAGAATAAGACTAAGACTAGCAATAATAAAAATAGTACAAACACTGATGAGAATATTGACAGTAACAAGAAAACTAAGCAAACAAAGTAAGAATAGTAGCTAACACTCCGCATTCGTACTGTTAATAGCTTCATCAGTGTTAGTGTTACTGTTATTGCCACTGTTCCACGGTATTGTAAAGCTGTTATTGTTCGCATTTAAACTCTTGCAACCCCCCATCCCCGCCCATTCCTTTACCCCAACAGCACCTGGACGTTCGGGGCTCAGTGTCGGACACGTTTCTGTCGGAACTGCGAGGGTTCGGAGTTTAGGCTAGAAGCTGCCCCCACCCGGTAATAGTGACTATAAGAATTATATCAGGGCCTTATCGTATTCCTGTTATACCACTATTACAGGGTGGGGGCCCCTTCTAAAGTTTAGGCCTGAGGGCTGAGGGCTTTGGGTTTAGGGCTTAGGGGTTCGGCTTCAGGGTGTAGGGCTTAGGGTTTAGGGTGTAGGGGTTTAGGGTTTAGGGGTTTAGGGGTTTAGGGTTTAGGGGTTTAGGGGTTTAGGGTTTAGGGGTTTAGGGTTTAGGGTTTAGGGGTTTAGGGTTTAGGGGTTTAGGGGTTTAGGGTTTAGGGTTTAGGGCCTGGGGCTTTGGAGTGAGGACCATTGCAGCAACGCATAGTTAAAGGTCGGTTGTGCCTAAACCCTACACCCTAAGCAACAACCCCGAAAACCTGCGCCCGAAACCCCAAGCCCGTACACCCTAAACGATAACCCCGAAACCCTGCTTTCTAAACTCCATACTCTAAATTTGTTTGTTCTCGGATCTGCATCCTGCATCTTTAACCTCAAATGCGGTTCGGGCAGAACAGCACCCTACATCCTAAACCTTAACGTTACTGTAAGATCTGTTAACTGAAACCCTGAGACTTAAATCCCCACAGTTCTAGGTTTCATGACACCCTGAGTTTTTAAGCCTCGAATAAGCACCTTAACCCCTAAGCCACTGACCCTAACCTGTGGTGCGAGGTGCTCGTCTCAGGTCTTGTCCATGTCGTTGCGAAGATCCGGACGCTGGGAGGGTCAAAGGCGAATGCTGTGACTGCGCAGGTGTCCCGGCCCAACCCCCGCTTGACAAAAGAGATATGTTCCACTGAAACACTATGTTTTTTCCACCACCACCACAACCAGTAATTACTATTATTAAACCCTGCTCATGCTCCCCACCTACCTCTTACCAGACCTGGACGCCGGAAGAAACGAATCATTCCCTTCGGGTTCCTTGTTTGATTTTTATGAACCTTATTCTACCCTAAGCCCTGAACTTGCAACCCTAAGCCTATTATTATTATTATTATTATTATTCTTATTATTATTATTGTTATTATCATTATTATTATTATTATTATTATTTTCTCTACGTTGTATACACACCCCTCTCAGTTTCCTGAGGATGTGGGGGTCTCCATGGACAAACCAGGCAACAGCGCAGACAAAAGCCGGAGTTGCCTGGCCTGGGATCAGGGTTATCAGGGTTTAGGGTTTAGGTTGGGCTCAAGGTTGCCACTTTCGACTTTCGACCACGACGACTACCAACAATCATAAATATAGTAATAATAATAACAATAATAATAATAATAATAGTAATAATAATAATAATAGTAATAATAATAATAATAGTAATAACAATAATAATAATGATAATAATAATAATAATAATAACAGTAACAATAATAATACGACCCTCCTAGTTTCGACCTTTGCAGGTTCAGGTCTGTTTTCATTCCCTGACCGCGCGCCTTTTTTTCTGGTAAACCGCTTGCACAGCGAGGTTGCTGTCACACAAGATATGGGAGTTTCCGAAAATAGGGGACCCCAATATAGTACCGTAAATAGTATGGTCCTTATTATAAGGACCCCCAGATAAGGTACCCCTAATTTTCGGAAACTCCCATATCAACCCAGAGAGTCCAATACCCGTGAATGACCGAGGATTACCTCAAGTCGTAGTATTAAGGCCCCTATAATTCAAGGTATATTCCTGAATCGAGGGGTATTGGACTCTCTGGGAACGGGGTCCGGACTAGATGAGGCATGTTTCAGGTTGTCGTCCGGGATAATGAAGGACTTCAGTCACGAGGGTTCAGGGGTTTTAGGGCTTGGGGTGTAAGGGCATTCGTGAGTTGTTGGAGGCCCTGATGTCACAAATTGATTGCTCAGGGGCTTCCGCTGCACAATATGCAGCACTTGGGGAAGCTTGGGTGTGAGTTCAGAGCTTGACTTCGCGGCCCTGAACTGTACTTGGAGGGTCGAGGGACTTAGTCAGTAGGTAGTAGGTAGACATATAACTACCCTAAAAGGGACCCTAATCGGGGTTATGGTATCTATAAGTCCCTAAAAAAACCAGTTACTAAGTCACCCCGACCCTCCAGTAAGTCCTTCGAGGGTAGGCGGGTTTAAGGATCCGCAACGGCTAGCAAGGCATGGTTTCCCAGATTTCTCGGAGGATCTGAAAAGTAGATCCCTTCATTGGGGTTCCTACAAAGTACCCTTGGTAGGATAGGGTCCCAAATTAGGGGATCTACTTTCCCCTATAGAGCCCTAAACCCTAAACCCTTAAAGGATCCCATAAAGGAGCACTTTAAGGAACCCTACTAAGTCCCCAAATTAGGGGATCCACTTTCTAGATCCTCCCGGGGGCACGGTTTGGGAAGCTCCAACTCGTGATTGATGCTTCTTTCCCACTGCAAATGTTGGAGTTGAGGGTTTGGGGTTTAGGATTTAGGGTTTAGGGTTTAGGGCTTGCACTCCCATCGGGAAGAAGAATAAAATCATCGAGGGGCCATCTTTGCTATCGCGAGGCCCTTGAAAAAGGAGCAAACCTTCAAGCTGAGACCTCAAGTTGTGAAACCTTCCCAGAGAGCCCCAAAACCCCTTAATTCAGGACTATGGTTTAAATTTTCGGGGGCTTTGATAATATGCCTTCAGGTACATTAATCGATTAGGGTGTCTGGGGCTCCTGGGCTTCAACCTTCAAAATCTAAAACATCTGCACTTCAGGCTACCCTTGTAGATCCCTAAACCCTAAACCCTAAAGGATCCCTTTAAGGAAGCCTACTAAGCCCTAAATTGGGGATTTGGGGATCTTCAAAATCTGCAGTTCAGGCTACCAGCTGCGCATTGATGTGAACGAGCACTTGGCTATGTGCCAAGGGTAAAAGGAGGGACCCTTAATAAGGACCCCTAGGTATATACCCTTAATATAGCTTTTGTATACCCATTATATAGCCCTTTATAGGCTAATTAGGGGTACCCATTAAGGGTCCCTCCTTTTCCCCTAAACCCCCTAAACCCCCAAACCCCTAAACCCTAAACCCTATACCCTTATGGAATCCCTATAGATCCCTTTAAAGGGACCCATTAAGGGTCCCTCCTTGTCCCCTTTGATATGTCGCCATGGGCATGTAAGCGGTTCCAGGGTTTCCGTGTTGTAGACTGCTGGTTTTTGCAAGCATTGATCCCGTATAGCTTCTCTACTTGTCGAGCTTGCTCTTAGTAGTTTGTCATGGAACATGTGTCCTTGCTTCTGTTTGCTTCTAGCAAAGCAAATACATCAACGTTCCTCTATAGAGCTCTACCATTCAAAGCTTCGGGTCTCCTAGATTTAAGGTTGAGGTTTAGACTTTAAGGGTTTTCCCGAAGCGATGCTATCATGCAGTCATCCCCATGACCATCATCACATTATCGGGTTCATCGTAGCTTCGTTTTTATGCATGGGTTTCGGGCTTTGTCTATAGGCTACCATCCTGGGCTTTTCGAAGCTCTTGAATTGAAGCCGCCTCCTAGGATGCCCAGTAGCACCCTCATTCCCTTTTTGTAGTCCTAGGTTCCTTATAAAGTTACCCAATACCGAAAAGAGAGCCCTTTTTATTCCTAGGTTACTGGGCATCCTAGAATGTAGGAACCTGATTAAGAAACCCTGGGCCTATAACACCAAATATTAGGATTCATGTAAGGAAACGTCATAAACGCCCTAGTGACTGGGTATCCTAAACTTTTCGAAGCTCTCGCCGCCCCCGAAGGTACCTCTACTCGCTGCTGAAGTCGAAGTCTACAGGCTCCCCTTGCACATTGGAGGGTTTGGGTTTCGGGGCAGAAAACGCGCAATTCCGTGCAAATACCTTGCGAAAGGCAGTTTTCAAAACCCTCGAAGCCTTTAAACATCCTAAACCCAAGGCAGTTTCGAGACCTGCTTAGAAACTCTTACAGGGACCTTCTTGGAGGAACCCTTATATAAAGGAACCCTAAACCCTAAATACCCTAAATACCCTAAATACCCTAAATACCTTAAATACCCTAAACCCTTTTTCCCTTGAAAACCCTAAACCCTGAATGCCCTAAACCCTTTTTCCTTTGAAAACCCTAAACCCTAAATACAATTTTCGGAGCCTCAACCCGAAGGCTCCAAGTTCGACGAGTACACGGAAAACTTCACCTCCAACGCAGCGGAGACGGTCCTCAAGTCGCAGTGCCGTCCCAAGGTCGCTCGGCCCTGTGTTTGGGTCAGGGTTTAGGGTTTAAGGTTTAGGGTTCAGAGTTTAGGGTTTTTCTGGTTTAGGGTTCAGGGTTTAGGGTTCAGGGTTTCGGGTTGGGGTGGTTTGGGATCTGGCGGGGGATAGCAAGACGTCCGAAATGTCTTCGGGGGAGGGTGTGATGAAGTGTGGCTAGAGCTTCAGGAGGGTTTCGGGGATTTGCTGATTGGGGCTTCGGGGCAGAGCTTGCTTTAGTGTTCGTTCGGAACTTCTTGTGAGATGGGCTTCTTATACTGCAACCAGCGTTCATAACAATTGCGTTCCCAGGATTGCCCTTTGCCAAACCCTCTGATGAGCAAGCAGGAAAATGCATCAACATGCCCAGAGACTCCAAAACCCCTTAATTAAGGAATATACCTTAAATTATAATAGGAGCCCTAATATGATTTAAGCTATATTCCTTAATTAAGGGGTTTTGGAGGTTAACAGTACCCGAGATCATGTGCCTCAGAGCTCAGATCTCGCCCCTTAGCTGTACATCGTCGGGCTCCATATGGGTGGTTGTCAAAATTATGGTCCTCTTTGGGTCCGTATGATAATACGGCACCTAATATTTAAGGTACCCCAAAAAGGGACCCGAATTTTGACAACCACGCTTTTGCATTCTACTTCAACCGGGTAGCTCTGCTTCGGTTTAAGACTCTGCTCCGCTGGCTCCCAGCTATGAAGAAATAGAAAGAACACTAGAAGTTGTCATAACAGCAGTTGGATTCATAAGTATCAAGGTTGGGCTGAGTGTAGGGTCCTAAGTCTAGGGTGTAGGGTCGAGGGTTTAGGGTTTTACTTAGTTCAAGGTTTAGGGTTTTGGTTAGGGTCCTTTAGGGCATGGGGGGGGCTAGACAGTGCACGGTGTGACAACTCGACCGTATGATTTCTCGAGGATCCTCTGTTGGTGATGTTGTGATACTTGAGCATGTGGCCCATGTCAGGTCAGCTTGGACTTTGTGAAGAAGGACGTGGAAGGCGGCGGTCACGGCTGTTGAGAGATGTTGGCTTGTCAGAGGCTCCACTACCCCTTAACTAAGGAGTATACTATGACATATAATCGGAACCCCGGTATGGTTTAAGGTATATTCCTAAATAACGGGCTAAACCCTAAACCCTTACTTAAGGAGTACACCTTGTATCAGATTCGGGCTCCTAGTCATCTTTGGGGTTTGGGAGCCTTTGGAGGTCATCCTGCAGGTTCTCCGGTTTTTCAAGGTTTTGCGTGATACCCAGAACCTCCAAAACCCCTTAATTTAAGGAATAAAACTTACGTCATATTAGGGCTCCTTTTATAATTAAAGGTATATTCCTTCCTTAAGGGGTTTTGGAGTCTCTGGGTAGGGCTTTGGGATTTAAGGTTCAGGGCTTTAAGCTGCAAGCATGGCTTAGGACGTACAGCTTAGGGTTTACATGTAATGGTAAGGGCTTGGGATTTAACTTCGGCTGAATCGATTCTCGTTCTCCCAGTCCTTGAAGCAAAAAAAACAGCAAAGCCCCTGGCGCAGCCCTATTCGAGCCGAATTGAACCGTAAATCTCGGTCCACAGCGAGACCTTGAGTCCCGAATCCTGGAATCCAGAACTTAGGCCGTCAAGCGGTTTAGGGTTTATAGGGTTCAGGGTCTGGGATTATGTGGAGAGACTGTCCTGGAAACAGGTAGGCTTGTAGCGGCGTGTATGCTGAGTGCAGCGTGTGTTTAGAACGCCGTTCATTAGGGTCAGAAAATTCGTTGCCGCGGACCTTGCCGTCTCCGCCAATCACTCTGGGATGTTCAGGGGTTGCCCAGCAAGGGTGTCAGTTTTCAGGGCTTTGGTGCACCCTCAACCAAGCCTCTCAAGGAAGGCCTTAAAGGGGTTATGTTATGCAGCTAATCCTATGTATATATGTATATGAAGTTCCCTTACGACAACAGCCCCCATCACATGGGCGAGTGTGGTGAGCTTTGGCAGATGGTTTAGGGCACAGGCGTGCATTCCCCTCAACCCCAAATCCAAAATCCTGGACTCCTAAATCCTAGACCCCGTATACTAAACCCTAAACCCTATACCCTAAACCCTAAACCCTAAACCCTAAACCGCTTTTAGGACCCCAATAGACCGAGAGGTGCAAGCTTCCAGAGACTGGCACCACTCGGCCAGTCACTTGATCTCATGAACCACTCTGTCCAGCAGTACAGCGTGGCTCGGCGGGTTTACGGCTAAGCAGACTAAGGTTCAGCGTCTAAGGTTTAGGGTTTACGGCTTAGGCACTGCTGGATGTGCAAACACGACCAACTTGCTTGATGTAGGGCCTTTGCTAGAGGCATCATGGTTTGCCGTCGTTCAAATCGCAAATTCCATTGTGTTCCTTGGGGTAACCCCATGTCCCATATATTAGGATGCCTGACTCCCTTGGCCAGGCCAGGAAAGCTGAGACCACCGACGGGACGAAGTTTGGCTGGCTGCTGATGACCGTTGGCAGCTTCATGGCCGTCCTGGCACTCTGGATGCTCCCCCGATGGTGGGTCCAATTCTCCAAGGGGCAGTGCATTCCCTCTTGCGAGCCCTGTCCTGAAGTGGACGTTCGACAGGCTCAGGTAGGCGTTCCCCTAATTGATGAGGATCGTCTGCCGTCGGAAGAGGAATTGAGACCGCAGCTCATGCAGATCCTGCAGGAGACCGACTCCCTGATGGTGTAGCAGCAGTGTAGCCATCACTGAAACGTCCCACTTGTATCCACCGGCCATCCCCACACCGTTTTCACTGGCAGTCACCATTGACACCAAAATGGGGTGCACCGCCGCAAAGTACGGCCTGTTCACACCCCCCACCGGGCTGAAATGGCCCTTCTTGTTGCCGATGCTGCCCATTGGCCCTTGCTTTGCGGGTTTTAGCGCATCCGGCCAAGGCTTCAATTAGAAAAAGGAGGAACATCTAAAGCTCCAACTTAAGTGACGCAGTTATGAAGGAGGCATCATTGGCTTCAGTACAAGTGTGTGCAGACCAATGGGTGGGCAACATCATGAGCACGTTTTGAAGACTTACACATGCGGAGACCAAAACCCTGAGCTCTAAGCTCCAGTATTGCAGCTTCCGCGCCGGAATCGGAGACACAGTAGTCCTTACAGCCTTTGGCCATGTAAGCAAGCTGCGCCAAAACCATTCTCCCAATCACTGGGCCAAATACCATTAGTTTAATGCCCAAATCCCCATCCCATGGATCAGCTCTAGACTGTAGAAGCGCTCCGTCGGCACAAGGCCGATGTCATGAGCATTGCTGTGACCTAGTGAATTTGGCGAGAGGCCGTTCTTCTCGCACCTGAGCTTTCGACGGCAGTGGCCATCGGCAGAGTGATGGCCCATCAATGTTCAGGAGTTAGAGAAGTTGCAGCTAGCCACATTACGCGATGAGCTGTTCTCTGCTTGGCCCTTTACGGGTGATTTCAAGTCATGCTCAGTTGCAAGACTTTGCTACTCGAACACCTCTGCTGCTGCGAAGCAAAGTGTGAGCTTTCGGTACTTGTTCCGTGAAAGTGAGGCGGCGAGCGGTTGAACAACATGGCTGTTTGTTTTCGGCACGTTTTCCTCTGTGTGAAGTGACAGTGACAGTGGGTTTTTTGTCATGATATTGGCATAGTGCACTCGTGCGGTTTGAGCTTTGTGCACTTTCGTGTCGAGCGCTTTAGGGTTTAGGTCTGCGCAGTTCTGAAGCACGGCTTCGCTGCATGCAGAGTTCAGAGTTTGGTGTAGGATGCAAGCTATATGAATATATGTGGACCCAGACTAACCCCCACCAGCCACCAGAACCACTAGCAGCACCACCAGCACCACCAGCCCCAGTAGCAGCACCACCAGCCCACCACCAGCCCACCACCAGCCCACCACCAGCCCAGCCCCAACAACAGCACCAGCACCACCAGCACCACCGGCACCAGTCGTCGCTGTGTCTCAACCCGTCTCTCGAAACTCAAGCCTGGACCCTAAACCCTAAACCCTAAACCCCTAAACCCCTAAACCCTAAACCCTAAACCCTAAACCCCTAAACCCTAAACCCTAAAGCCCTAAACCGTCAGGCCCAGAATTACATGTCCTCTCCGCAACTGTTTGCACCATGGGTAGCCGCAGAAGCGCATCAGCAGCAGAGCCCCCCAAGGCAGGATCAATACCCGGTATAGGAAACATGTATAACATAAACATGTGTGTATGTATGTATGTATGTATATATGTATGTGTGTGTACTACTGTATTGTATGTACGCATGTATGTATGTATGTGTGTATGTATGTATGCATGTATGTTTAGATAGGTACATACACCTGTATAGACATATATGCATATCACATACGTACATATGGGCATATGCACAAACACATATACAGGTAGATAGATGGATGGATAGATAGCAAGATAGCTGTATCTGTCTATATATATATACATATATACACACACATACACATACATATGTATGCTCATACATACAGCAGGTATATCCTATAGTTATGTGTATACACGTGTATATATATATATATATATCTACATACATATGCCTTCGGGCTGAAGTGTTCTCTGTGAGCGGGCGGATAGGTTCTGCGGCAATCCCATTGCCCGGGCATCTTTCGGTAGGTGCTTCGACAATTGTAAGTTTTATGCTTTCAGTTAGAGTCAGTCAGAGGTTTTCTGGGCAGCATTTAGCGTTTAATATCTTGTTGAAGTTGAAGATTTCGAACACCGGCTCGATGACATCACACCATCGGCAGGCTGCATGGAGCACTGAGCTTCAGGACCCCAGCCGCAAGTTCTGCAAAGCCATCCTTTCCTATGCCTAAACCTATAAGCCTCATTTCCATATAACTACGCATGAACCTCCGAGTAGTTCCGAAGCCCCCTTCTGCAAAAGGCTACACACAATGGACTTCAGTGGCGGCTCCGGCGGCTCTGGGCAGGCGGGTGTAGGGCTTGCGAATTGTACGTCATGGGTTTATCGCCTGGAAGCTTGAGGTGGGTTTAGGGCATACTTGGAGGGTCGGGGGACTTAGCAACTGGCTTCAAGGTTTGCTTTGAGGTTGGTTTTCGTGGATGTAGGGGCCTCCGTGTTTTGTTGTCTACTGTTCCGCATGTCGGAGGTGTACAAGCAGAGGCGAAAGAAGAAATAGCACATACAACCGTTTTGAAATAGACAGAAGTTCAGTTCGAAATAAGCTTGAACCAAGTTCAGGCGAAGGCTGATTTGGAGCGCATGTATTGTTGTTTAGTATGTTGCATGAGAAGTCTTTTGGGTTGCTTAGCCCCAAACCCTACTTGGAGGCGCATGGGTAGTTGTAAGTTGGAATATAGGTAGGTTAACTATCGTCATAACCCATGTTTGGGGACATATAACCACTTATAAACTATCCATCAATCCCCTGAACCTCCAATCAAAGCGAACCCTGAGCCCCGCTTTAAATAGCTCAGGACATGCAGGAGCTGCAGCAGTCGCTAAACGCAGTGGTCCTTCAGCTGTTGCAGAACCAGGCCACAGAGCTATGATATCAATCCTAGATTTCCTTTGAAGGGGTCTATAAGGGTACCTTTAAGAGGTTCCTTTATAAGTAAGAGATCTATAGGGTTTTGGGATTTAGGGTTTAGTTTGATGATATAAATCCTGCACTACCCACTGTAAGGAATGTACCATGATTCCCATAGTTTAGGGTCCTCAAGGCAATGCAGGATTTATATCATCAACAGTAGTTTCGGACTAGGGCCTGGGTTCAGGGTTGTGTGTGAGAGGGTTGAGGATGTACATATCACGGCTTCAGAGCTGTAGTTTAGAGTGTCGATGTCCACGGTCTCAAGGTGGTTCGAAGTCGAGGGCTATGATGCTAAGATTCGGAGCTTTCGGCTTCACATAAGGAATATAGTTAGGATTTCAAGTAAGGATTACAGTTAGGATTTGGTGGTTTAGGCTTTCGGACAATTTCGTGGCCTAGTAGTAGTAGTAGTAGTAGTAGTAGTAGTAGTAGTAGTAGTAGCAGTAGTAGCAGTAGTAGTAGTAGTAGTAGTAGTAGTAGTTGTAGTACTGTAGGTGTCAGGATTTCTAGGTTGGCTCAAGGCAAAGGTTCCCCAAGGATGATGCAATACGATTTAGGTTTGTAGAAGTTAGTCTATTATTTAGTCCTTGCCCGTCCCTGGTCCTAGATTTGTGGTATCGATGTATTTAATGAATTTGGGGTATAAGGTGTAAGAAGATATAGTGGCCTGTATGTAGTGATAGTGGGCTTCTTGTGTTTCTTGAACTCTCGGACCTTTCGGTTTGGAGTTCCTCACAAGGCTGCAAGACTCACAAATACGGCTTCAAGAGAAGCCGTTCAATGCCGCCTTACGCCACCTCCTTTCTCCTGACTCCACGCCTTATAACTTAAATCAAGGCATAAACCCCATCTGCATCCTATCAACCCTCCCTTGAGAAGGATTGTCACGGGGCTCGGAAGATTCAGGCTCTTACATCGGGGGTATAAGGCAGAGTGAAGCACCCAACACTCCCTTTACGATGGCAAGGTCAGGAAGACGTGCTTCGACAAGTGCTTCCCGAGCAACCGCTTTCCAGACCGAATGAGTAACTGGACTGTTTAGGGTTTAGGCTTCAGGGTATTACTTGGAGGTTCATGGGTAGTTGTAAGTAAGGTTCTTAGTCCCCTAATATGGGTTATAAGTATAGTTACCCTACTTATGACCCCACTTACAAAACCCCATGAACCTCCAGGTAGGGTTCAGGGTCTGGAGCTTAGAGCTTGGGGTTTGGGGTTAACGGCCCATACCCTACACAGGCACAGGCACACTCATATACGGACAGAGATGCTTTCATGCTTACAGCCATACGTGCACGCACAGACACGCACACACACGCACACAGATACGTGCACAGATATACGTAGGTAGTTAGCTACCTACCTACGTACATACGCGCACAAACAAAATGAACATGCTCACCTGCATGTATACCCACATGCGAGCATAAACACATCCATCCCTCCATCCAGACAGAAGGCCAGCCAGCCAGGCAGGCAGGAAGGCAGGCAGGCATGCATGCAACTAGTTGTTGTTCATGTGGTTGCAGAACATCGCTTGTGGGTCTGAGCGTGCCATGTGTTACACGCATATACAAACCATGCAGCGGGCTCCCGTCCACGCGAGTTGCCGTGGCTGATGCTGAGATTGGCTAGGCCTCCCAGTGGGCCCTTGTTCCCTTTTTGTAGTTCTGGGTTCCTTGTATATAAAGGTAACCAATACCAAAAAGGGAGCCCGTTTTATTCCTAATTAGGTTACTGGGCATCCTATAGTTGGTTAATGGCTATCGCGGCTTTGAGCTTGATCTTCTGCCCCAGAGTGGTGATTCGCTTATCGCCGTCATTGCGATCATCATAAACACCAGCGTGTAAACTGTAAAATCATAAAGAGTTTGAAAGTCCAGGTGGGTAGTTAATATGGTTTAGGGTTTGGGGCTTTGGGTCTCGGGCTACGGCTACTCCCCGTCCATGCTTCAGGGCTGATGGTGCAGGGTTTAGGGTTTAGGGTTTAGGGTTTAGGGACTGCAACCCAGGCAAAACCGAGCACATCTGCCTTGCCGCGAACTCGGCTTGAGAGCTTTCCGATTCCACTTCCGAGCACTGTGATTATATCCATGAAGGCTTCTCAGCCTCGGTAGCTCAGAAATTCCCTCTTG